AAAGCACAGAGAACTGATATCAAAATAATACCCACAAAGTACAAAACAACAAAATCCACACCATGTCATTTGAATAGAATAAGCCTACCTCAGGAGAGTGGTCAGAGTCCCCAAAGACGTCAGAAAAGTCAGTGGGGGCTTTTCCTCAAGTCTGCGTCTGCTCTGCAGGCAGCGTGTTGTCATTGTAGGACGAGACTAAACTTAAAAAGTCACTTGATCCTGGATCCAGTTGTCATGTATCCATCATAGTTGTAAGTGCTGCGTAAAGTTCCTGTGCCGTCAACATCTGCATAATTAGGAGGCAGATAACCACTGGGGATTGCAACTGCTCCATCAAACAACAGTCTGGATGTCCCGCTGGGTCCTGATCTCTCCCACTGTGGAGACCTCTCAATAGTAAAAAGTCCAGCATGTCAGTGGTATTTTTGGTGCGCGCGAGTCTGTGATAGGACAGCCAGGCATTCTGTCCAGAGTCTGCGTCCACTGCTATCACTTTGGACACCAGAGAGCCTGCATGTGCAGCTTTAGGGACAGTTCAGTCATCGAAGGAGTTCCCGTCTTGTGGGGCTGGGGTTTACAGTATTTGCAGGAGAGTTGGCATTCACATCAGGATTATAAACACAATTGACTGTCACGTTGGTGAGTGGAGGAGAGCCATTGTCTCTGGCCATCACATTGGGACTTGAAAACTCCTGAAGTGTTCATAATCAAAAGCCCTCAGACGCATGGATCACCCCTGTGTCTCCATTCACAGGACACATAGGAGGACACAGGGGGCCTACGTTCACTTTCAGCAGGTAACAGGGAATAATACCACTGTCCCTTTTCGTCTCCAGTTGGGTCTCGAGCAGCAACGAAAATAAAGTGGACGACCAGGGTTTGTTGTTTTCAGTCACAGGTGCGCTGGTAGGACTGCTCCTCAAAACACAGGAGGGTTTTTTGTCATTGATGTCAGCTACTGTTTAATGTGGACAGTTTTAGAGGGGACGAGAGGTGGAGAGCCCTCGTCAGTGGGCACTGATTGTAAATGTTGTAATGCGTGATGTGTGACACGGAGCTCACAGGTCCAGCTGCTCTGTGTGTCCCACCAGAGAATAATAGTTTTTTAAGGAAGGAACTAACTTTGAAAAGGGACCCCCAGTCTGAAGAGAGCAGTGGTGACCGGTCTGTTGTTCTCTGAGTCTCTGTCCTGGACATTAATTATGCCCAACCTCTGTAGCCAGGTGACACAGTCTCAGGAATCTGAGTGGTAGGGATTTTAAATTAATGATGGGAGTTAAGCGTTATCATTTACTTCAATTATGTCAATAATTAAAAGTTGCATATGGAAACTAACCCTAACCCGTCTCTTGGCACTGATTTGCATTTCCTAAGATGGTATTTTTATGGTCAATTCCACTGGAAAACAACAACGCTCTCCTGTTTTAGAGATAATGGTGAACACTCTAACTTATGTCTCATTCAGACACATGATCAAATTTCATACAAAATGACTCCGTTTACTCCAACATCAGCATCTGTCGCCGTCACTGTGATAACCAGTGTGTGTCTGGAGGAGAGTTTGCTTTTTCAGGGGACGACTCGCTTTATTACACAGGTCTGACTTAAACTCTGGTGTCATTATCATTAGCGTCCAGGGAACAGTGACGTATGAATGACCACTGTGCCTGATCTCTGAGTGAGAGCCTGCCATCAAACGCAGTCAACATGTGAGCGTAATCTCCTCATTATCCTCTCGGTCTAGTGTCTTTTATTTAAAACTAATTCACTAGTATTTTCGGACCCGCCAGTGTTTGTTTTGATATTTGAATTTAAAATGGATCATTCTGCTGAAGGGTGTAGCCTTGTACTGCGTTTTCGCCTATGTCTCCATCATTGGGCTTCTCCTATCACCGCATCCCTAACGTGCCTTTATCAGCTGATTGTCTCTCTATTTCAAATTAAGCGTGTTCTTCTTTAAATTGAGGCGACGTTATCCATTGATATCTTGCACGCGGAATGGTAAAAAGCGATGCAGCTCCTAAAGGGTTTTCCAGCACAAGCTCCTGTTTCAGAATACATGAAGTCTTCTTCGCACAAAGGCCCTCTCTGTCAATCCTCATCTCCTGAAACGAGAGCTTCCCGTGTTGAAGGTTTACTACTGGCAGAACTGGGACTCCGTTGTCCTACAGGAGTCCAACGCGCGCCCTGCGAGCGGACAATCTACTCAAATCAAGTCAACATCCTTAGCGATATTTCCGATCATTCAGATCCATCGTTTCATCTCCTCTGGAATAGAGTAGCTGTATGTCTCCACGGCCAAACTATGCAAGCCAAGAAAATAAAACACACAAAAAACGTGGGAATAAATGTGCCTTCTGTCCGGCCATGATTTTAACACTAGTATTTTCAAATCTCTAGTCGAAAATGCGTCAAACGAAGCACTGAATTAAGTAGATGTGTGCTAAAGCGTTGTTTCTTTGTAAAATTGGGCGCGGCCCGCTTTACAAACAACTGATAAAGAAGGGAGGAGAATGAACACGATGCACCGTTCACAGACGTGAAAATACTGACACCACAGCAGTTTTGTTCTGAGCGCTAAACAACCACAAGCTGTTTCATAAGTCCAGGTGTAATGAATGTTTTCACGCTTACAATGATATATTATATTTTATCCTATTAACGCAAATGAATAGAAACAAGGTTAAATACATGATTATATATTTTTAATACTTGTATTCTATTGAAGGACACCTCCATATATGTGTCATTCTGGACTTATTATGTCATTTAGACTCAAGATATCAGGCCTTGCCACTCGTTTGATTTTAATTCTTTTGCAAGTGTTTAATTCGTCAAGATTCAATGTGAATATTTTTTTTATTTGTCAAACCTAGATGTTGTGAAATGGTTTGAATATTATAATTTCTCTCACTCCTTGGATTTGTGGAGCGGTGTGGCGTGGGGGAAGAGGGGTGGGAGGGAGAGGAGCAGGAGTTCAGCTTCCTGAGTGGCCTTGTGAATGAAACTGTTTTTAAGTCGGACTGGAAGATGTGATTCGGTGTAAATTCTGCAGTCTCCTCCTGAAGGCATTACCCTGAAGAGCCTGTGTGATGGGTGCGTAGGGTCCCTGGTGATTCTGACGGCTTTGCGCGTTTTGTGAGACGGGTGGAGTACATGTCCTTAATTGGTGGGGAGAAGGGGCTCCTACAGGATCTTCTCTGTGTGTGCTCTGTCTTGCACGATGCTGCTGGATTGGCTCCTTCGGCAGGAGGCAGTGGCTGGTGCCGTGCCACCCGCGCTAGTGATGGAGCTGGTCAGGGATGCTCTTTACAGTCCCTCTGTAGAAGTTGCACACAACGGAGGGCCGAGACTCCTTGTAGCGCCTCTTGTGACGCCTCCACTGTGCTGCAGATGCTTGTTTATTTGGGGCCCTCGCGTGTGATCCTGTGTCAGCGCTTCAGAAGGATGATATCTCTGGATTTGTAGGTCGCTGTAAGAATTATCTGTCTCAAGAAAAGTCCTTTTAGCTCAGATGCATAACTGTGTGTTTACTTTTAAAAACACATCCTCTGTTCATTGCTAGCAAAGAGCTTTGGCAGTAGTAAAAAAAAATCCGCTGCAACTCACAAAAAACATGGCAAAGTTTTTTTAGATGTACAACAACATCTTGCAAATAACAATGCGGATCACAAAAAACTGCAAATGCAGTTTGCAGAAAAGGGTAGACAAAGGGTTAGAAACGTCATCCTTGTCAAGAGATGAGTGAGAAGCCGCAGCTTGTTCATGCGCCGCCTTGGTAACATGGTACAGGCGCATGTTCAAGGTGTACTGTAATTTTGTTATACAGTAAGGGAGATTAATTACATGTGAGTAACTACTGGGCAAGTGCATTCTACTCTAAAGATACTAAAAAAGTATATGTGAGTTCGTCAACTTTTTTAAGTATTTAGTTATAAGCCATCGGCCTCTTTAGAATTAAATATATGCAACTTCCACTGGGGCAGACCTTTCAAGCACATTCTATTTTAAGTCTGTTTTTTACTTTTCTGTGTTGTTCATTTGAATGGGACATGTTGTGAATACATCACTTTGTAGCCATGGGGTAATTTCCATCTGTTGTCCCATAGTTGCACTAAACGCACACACTCTCATTTACCTTGAACTATAGTACAAGATTGTAGGGGAAACCTGATACACCACCTTAAATCCAACTTGTGATGATGTGGTCAAAAATAAAAACCACATTTGCCTGATACACAGAAAAAATATTAGCACCATGGACAGAGGTGATATAAAACCACTATTAACAAATATTCTGGAAGTACCCTAAATGTTTTCTTTCAGTTTGGAAATCTAAAATCTACAGTGTAAAATATGTCCATTTCAAAGTTGTTAGTTTCTCTGATTCCCTCCATGAAGTCACTGCTTGAGGGATAAATGACCTGTGTTCTCACCATGCCATAAGAACGCCTAAATTGTAACTCACTCCATCAACATTTTTCTTTGTAGTAATTATTAGTTCTAGGTGATTGTCGGTTTAAATAATTAGGTCACAGAGGCCAAATGTTGGTGAACGAAAGAATTACAAAAACTTTGATTGGAATACACTTCTCAGAATGCACTAGAAACATCTATGTGTGAGCTGTGAGAACAATTTTGTGAATTAGAAATGAAGTAAATTATCTTTAAGAAGAGTAAACATGTATTCGTCTCTTTGCAGGGAAATGTCAGTGTCATTTTTGCGCACATTACAGCGGTATAAAAGGTAAAATAAGATCACTCAGGTTATGCAGACATGAAACAATTGCTGTCTAGTTAATAGAAATATTGTAGTAATGATAGGAAAAAAAGGAATTATAACCTATTTAACTAGTGCTGCGTAAAGTTCCTGTGCCGTCAACATCTGCATAAAGTTAGGAGGGGCAGATAACCACTGGGGATTGCAACTGTTGTCATTGTAGGACGAGACAAACTTAAAGTCAAACAACAGTTGTAAGTGCTGGGTAAAGTTCCTTCCGTCAACATCTGCGGAGGCAGATAACCAACTCTCCATCAAACAACAGTCTGGGCTTCCACCTGCGACAGAACAGGACAATAATGATGAAGGTGAGGAAAAATGTGGACACTGACACCAGGGCAATGATCAGATAGGATGTCAGCTTTGAGTCCCTCTCATCATAAGAAATGTCCTTGAGTTCAGGCACTTCAGCCAAGTTATCAGAGATCAGTAAATACATGGAGCAGGTGGCAGAGAGAGGAGTCTGTCCGTTATCCTTCACTGCCACAATAAGGTTCTGTTTCATGCTGTCAGATTCAGAGATGTCCCGCTGGGTCCTGATCTCTCCACTGTGGAGACCAATAGTAAAAAGTCCAGCATCAGTGGATTTGACGATGTGGTAGGACAGCCAGGCGTTCTGTCCAGAGTCTGCGTCCACTGCTATCACTTTGGACACCAGAGAGCCTGCATGTGCAGCTTTAGGGACCAGTTCAGTCATGAAGGAGTTCCCCTCTGGGCTGGGGTACAGTATTTGAGGAGAGTTGTCATTCACATCAGATATAAACACATTGACTGTCACGTTGCTGCTGAGTGGAGGAGAGCCATTGTCTCTGGCCATCACATGGACTTGAAAACTCCTGAAGTGTTCATAATCAAAAGCCCTCACAGCATGGATCACCCCTGTGTCTCCATTCACAGACACATAGGAGGACACTGGGGCCCCGTTCACCTCAGCAGGTAACAGAGAATAAACCACTGTCCCGTTTTGTCTCCAGTCTGGGTCTCGAGCAGCAACAGAACATAAAGTGGAGCCAGGTTTGTTGTTTTCAGTCACATGTGCGCTGTAGGACTGCTCCTCAAACACAGGAGGGTTGTCATTGATGTCAGCTACAGTTAAGTGGACAGTTTTAGAGGAGGACAGAGGTGGAGAGCCCTCGTCAGTGGCACTGATTCTAATGTTGTAATCAGACACTAGCTCACGGTCCAGCTGCTCTGTGGTCACCAGAGAATAATAGTTTTTAATGGAAGGAACTAACTTGAAAGGGACCCCAGTCTGAAGGGAGCATTGGACCTGTCTGTTGTTCTCTGAATCTCTGTCCTGGACATTAATTATGCCCACCTCTGTACCAGGAGACACATTCTCAGGGATCTGATTGGCCTGAGATTTCAGAAATATTACAGGAGCATTATCATTTATATCTACAATTTCTATCAATAAAGTTGCATATGATGCCAGTCCGGGTCCGTCTTTTGCACTAATTTGAATTTCATACGAAGACTCTTTTTCATAATCAATAGCTTCTACAACTCTAACTTCCCCAGAGGAGGGGTTTAAGGAAAATATTTTGTTTTCACCAGAAGGGTCGTCAAATTCATATGTTATCTCACTGTTGACGCCCTGATCAGCGTCAGTCGCAGTCACTGTAATAACCAGTGTGTCTGGAGGAGAGTTTTCAGGGAGACTCGCTTTATACACAGTCTGACTAAACACTGGTGCATTATCATTAGCGTCAAGAACAGTGACATGGATGACCACTGTGCCTGATCTCTGAGGAGAGCCGCCATCAAACGCAGTCAACACAAGCGTCATCTCCTCATTATCCTCTCGGTCTAATTCGTTATTTAAAACTAATTCACTGTACTTTCGGCCATTACTCTTTGTTTTTACTTCTAATTCAAAGTGATTATTACCTTGAAGGATGTAACCCTGAACACCATTTTTTCCATCGTCTCCGTCATGAGCTTCATCTAATGGATATCTCGCGCCCTTATCTGCTGATTCACTGATTTCAAATTTAATTGTGCTCGCCTTAAATTGAGGTGCGTTGTCGTTGATGTCTTGCACGCGGATGGTAAAAGCGATGCAGCTCTAAAGGGTTTTCCAGCACAAGCTCCTGTTTCAGAATACATGAAGTCTTCTTCGCACAAAGGCCCTCTCTGTCAATCCTCTCCTGAACAAGCAGCTCTCCCGTGTTGAGGTTCACACTGCAGAACTGGACTCCGTTGTCCTCGGAGTCCACGCGCGCCCTGCGAGCGGACAATCTGCTCAAATCAAGTCCAACATCCTTAGCGATATTTCCGATCACAGATCCACGTTTCATCTCCTCTGGAATAGAGTAGCTGATGTCTCCACGGCCAACATGAAAAGCCAAGAAAATACAACACAAAATAATAGAAAAACGGCGTCTTTGCCCATCCATTATGTTACCAGGAGATTTGTTTTAAAAACTCTTGAAATGCGTAAAACGAAGCATTGAAAGAACAGCGTTTTCTGAAAATGTGCTGCTGCTTACAACAACTGATAAAGAAGGGAGGAGAATGAACACGCTGCACCGTTCACTGGTGAATACTGACACCAAGAGTTTGTTCTGAGCAACAACCACAGCTCTTCATAAAATGTTATTAAGTGCACTTTTAAAGCTATACAATATTTGTAACGAATACATTACAACGTTTTCAACCTAAAATTAGTATTATAAATAATAAATGATAACACTTGCATGAATGTGGACGGGAAAAATGCATGTGTTTTTATTTGTTTACAGTGTACAGCAACAATAGCATAGTGTTTCAGAATCACAGAGTGAAAATTAAATGGTAGTAATTTCTCCACATAAGTAATTAAAAAAAATTAAACAGTGTGGCACTTTGCTGTGAAAAAAAGAAAAAAAACCGTCTACATTTATATTAGAACAATGCAGACCTGAGAAATCAGCCTCTTCATGATAAATACTGGCAGCTGCCACTAGGGGCAGCCTTATCAAATACATTCTTATCTAAGTCTGTTTAAATGGAAGGGGTAAAACTGGAAACTAATTAACCTTTTAACTACTATTTGGCTCAAGCATGTGGAACAGATATCAGCACCATGGACAGAGAATTATTTGAATAACCAATGAAACTATCCCCAGGAACTTCTTCCATTTCAGTCTGATTATAAAGCATTGCAAATTATACTCATATGTTTCAAAGTATACTCATAACTCAAAATAAATAACAAAACAATGACCAAAACAATTGCACTACATACGTAGTCCTCATGTCAGTGCACCAAAAACTAAAAGAGACAAAACATGAAATGTAGATCATCCTTTTAAATTGTGCTCCATGTATAAAATAGACAAACATTTTATGAAAGTGTGTAAATCCTCGAATGTGAAAACTTAAAATAATAATATATTTTCTTTCATAAGTATGAAAACATTCTCTTAATGTAGTTAAGATAATAACTAATAATGTAGTTATTATCTTAACTAAAACGTAATTTTCCAAGGGGAACGAATAATTTAGAAACTTTACCATATAAGATCTATAGAGATTTTTAACAGCATTCGACCTCAAATATGTTCCACGCAACAAGGTCATTTTATTTTTTCATTTTTTTTGTGGTTATTTTTGTTAAGGATCCCCATTATTGCTCAAAATTGGTTTTCCTGAAGTGAACGAACAAAAGACAATCACTTCCAGGCACAATTAAATGAAATTCAAAAGATTAAAACATAAACAACTGCGTCTTTAGAAAATATAAATTTAAATCTCAATTCGGAGTAGAACTTTTCTACATCTATTCTAATAAAGAACGTCATCATTTGTACGTAGGTGCAATCAGGACTAACTCAAAATGTGTATAAATAACTTATGTAGGAGACAGATCAGGGTGCATTGTGTTTGTGGTTAATGTATTGTATGTGGCTCCACAGCAGGGGGCGGGGCTCACGGGGTGGGTGCACGTGCACGAAAAGTGCAAAAAGTGTGCATGAATCTGTCAAACAAAAGATGAATCAAGGCTGAGTGGGTAACCGTATTTTGTGTAGACCGTTTGCCTTTTACGTTTTCTTTGCTCACCTCAGGTCATACGTTCCAGTTCTTCAGTTTATCATTCATCCATATCTTGTTTGTTGCACTATTTATGTCAATAGATCACTTTAAAACGCAATACTGGATCAAAATTTCTTTAGCATTGGTTTCAAAACGCGTCTACACATCTTCGGGGACCACACCTGACCGGCTCAGATCTGCAGGAAGCCGCAACAACTTTAAAGCAAAGAACTCATGGTTCAGGAACCGCAGTCTACCACAGACCTCAGTTGTGGCAAGGAAGAGCAAAAAAGTGATAAAGGAGAATAAAGTTGTGTTTATATAGTCAAACATTCAACAAAGTAATAAATAATGCCAGTTAAGAGTGTGTCTGCATGAACAATATGAAATATACAAAAAGAAGAAACACATGTTGGCAGTCTGATCACAAAATCAAATAAACTCATGTTCAAAACAAACCATAGCTGTATCATGATTCACTCATTCAGTAAACAAAATATTTCATTATAAAACACTGTTACTCAATGAAAAGAACTCCAAAGTGATGTCTACAGTATTTTTGAAACAATAGTTGAATATTTTGACAACTAATAATCAATTACAGAGTTGGTGAATATATGTAATATTAATCTAATATCATTATAACACATTTCAACCAGAGTGAATCTTATAGTGTATAGTAAAAATATAAAATACTTCACATGGACGTATACAATGTAGTCAATCAAACACAAAGCAAGCTTCTTAATGGAATAAGCCTACCTCAAGAGAGTGGTCAGAGTCCCCAAAGACGTCAGAAAAGTCAGTGGGGCTTTTCCTCAGCGTCTGCTCTGCAGGCAGCGTGTTGTCATTGTAGGACGAGACAAACTTAAAGTCACTTGTCCTGGATCCAGTTGTCATGTATCCATCATAGTTGTAAGTGCTGCGTAAAGTTCCTGTGCCGTCAACATCTGCATAATTAGGAGGCAGATAACCACTGGGGATTGCAACTGCTCCATCAAACAACAGTCTGGGCTTCCTTCTGCGACAGAACCTCACACCCAGGACAATAATGATGAAGGTGAGGAAAAATGTGGACACTGACACCAGGGCAATGATCAGATAGGATGTCAGCTTTGAGTCCCTCTCATCATAAGAAATGTCCTTGAGTTCAGGCACTTCAGCCAAGTTATCAGAGATCAGTAAATACATGGAGCAGGTGGCAGAGAGAGGAGTCTGTCCGTTATCCTTCACTGCCACAATAAGGTTCTGTTTCATGCTGTCAGATTCAGAGATGTCCCGCTGGGTCCTGATCTCTCCACTGTGGAGACCAATAGTAAAAAGTCCAGCATCAGTGGATTTGACGATGTGATAGGACAGCCAGGCGTTCTGTCCAGAGTCTGCGTCCACTGCTATCACTTTGGACACCAGAGAGCCTGCATGTGCAGCTTTAGGGACCAGTTCAGTCATGAAGGAGTTCCCCTCTGGGCTGGGGTACAGTAATTGAGGAGAGTTGTCATTCACATCAGATATAAACACATCGACTGTCACGTTGCTGCTGAGTGGAGGAGAGCCATTGTCTCTGGCCATCACATGGACTTGAAAACTCCTGAAGTGTTCATAATCAAAAGCCCTCACAGCATGGATCACCCCTGTGTCTCCATTCACAGACACATAGGAGGACACTGGGGCCCCGTTCACCTCAGCAGGTAACAGAGAATAAACCACTGTCCCGTTTTGTCTCCAGTCTGGGTCTCGAGCAGCAACAGAACATAAAGTGGAACCAGGTTTGTTGTTTTCAGTCACATGTGCGCTGTAGGACTGCTCCTCAAACACAGGAGGGTTGTCATTGATGTCAGCTACAGTTAAGAGGACAGTTTTAGAGGAGGACAGAGGTGGAGAGCCCTCGTCAGTGGCACTGATTGTAATGTTGTAATCAGACACTAGCTCACGGTCCAGCTGCTCTGTGGTCACCAGAGAATAATAGTTTTTAATGGAAGGAACTAACTTGAAAGGGACCCCAGTCTGAAGGGAGCAGTGAACCTGTCTGTTGTTCTCTGAGTCTCTGTCCTGGACATTAATGATGCCCACCTCTGTACCAGGAGAGACATTCTCAGGGATCTGATTGGTCAGGGATTTTAAATTAATCACAGGAGCATTATCGTTAATATCAATTATATCAATGTTCAACGTTGCATATGATACTAACCCTAAACCATCTTTGGCACCGATTTGAATTTCATAATATGGCACTTGCTCATAGTCAATTTTTTGCTTTACTGTCACTTGTCCAGTTTTAGTGTTAATGGAAAATGCATTTATACTATCGTCATCAATAACATGATTAAACTGGTATGTTATCTCACTGTTAAGACCTTCGTCAGCGTCAGTCGCAGTCACTGTAATAACCAGTGTGTCTGGAGGAGAGTTTTCAGGGAGACTCGCTTTATACACAGTCTGACTAAACACTGGTGCATTATCATTAGCGTCAAGAACAGTGACATGGATGACCACTGTGCCTGATCTCTGAGGAGAGCCGCCATCAAACGCAGTCAACACAAGCGCCATCTCCTCATTATCCTCCCGGTCTAATTCTTTATTTAAAACTAATTCACTGTATTTCCGACCTCCAGTGTTTGTTTTGACATTTAATTTAAAATGATCATTCTGTTGAAGGGTGTAGCCCTGAACAGCGTTTTCTCCTATGTCTCCGTCATGCGCTTCTCCAATAACAAACATGGAACCTTTTACTGCCGATTCTCGAATCTCTAATTTTAGCGGATCATCTACGAACTTAGGCGCGTTGTCGTTGATATCTTGCACGCGGATGGTAAAGCGATGCAGCTCTAAAGGGTTTTCCAGCACAAGCTCCTGTTTCAGAATACATGAAGTCTTCTTCGCACAAAGGCCCTCTCTGTCAATCCTCTCCTGAACAAGCAGCTCTCCCGTGTTGAGGTTCACACTGCAGAACTGGACTCCGTTGTCCTCGGAGTCCACGCGCGCCCTGCGAGCGGACAATCTGCTCAAATCAAGTCCAACATCCTTAGCGATATTTCCGATCACAGATCCACGTTTCATCTCCTCTGGAATAGAGTAGCTGATGTCTCCACGGCAAATATGAAAAACCAGGAAAATATAATACAAAATAATACAAAAACGGCGTCTTTGCCCATCCATTATTTAACCAGGAGATTTGTTTTAAAAACTCTTGAAATGCGTAAAACGAAGCATTGAAAGCAGAGCGTTTTCTGAAAATGTGCGGCCGCTTTACAATAACTGATAAAGAAGGGAGGAGAATGAACACGCTGCACCGTTCACTGGTGAATACTGACACCAAGAGTTTGTTTCAAGCAACAGCCAAAGCTTTATTTAAACTACACTATTTGTAACGAACCATATTATAATAAATTACATCGTTTTCAACCTAAAATCAGTATTATAATAAAATAAATAATGACACTAGCATGACTGTGGAGTGGTAGAATGCAAGTGTTTCTTTTCTTGTTTTTGTTTTTTAGTCTACAACAACAATGGCATAGTGTTTCAGAATCACAGAGTGAAAATTTAATGGTACTAATTTCCTCACTTAAAAGATAATGAAAAATATTCAACAGTGTTGCACTGTGCTGTAAAAAATAAACATAAAAAACGTCTGCATCTGTATTTGAACAATGCAGACGTGAGAAATCAGCCTCTTCATGATTAATACTGGTAGTTGCCACTAGGGGCAGCCTAATAAAATACAGTCTCATCCATATATGTTTAAATGCAAGTGGTAAAACTGGATACTAATTAACCTATAAATTACAATTTGGCTGACGCATGTGGAACAGATATCAGCACCATGGACAGAGAATTAATTGAATAACCAATGAAACTATCCCCAGGAACTTCTGCCATTTCAGTCTGATTATAAAACATTGCAAATCATACTCTTATGTTTCAAAGTATACTCATAACTCGAAGTATATAACAAAACAATAACAAAAACAATTGCACAACATATGTAGTCCTAATGTCATTGCACCAAAAACTAAAAGAGGCAAAATATGAAACGTGCATCATCCTTTTAAATTGTGTTCCATGTATAAAATAGACAAATATATTATGACAGTGTGTAAATCCTTGAATGTGAAAACGTAAACTTTTTATATTCTCTCTCAATGTAAAATGTCTACTGTATGTTACCTTAACTAAAACGTAATTTTCCACGGGGAACGAATAACTTAGAAACTTTACCATGTAAGATCTATAGACATTTTTAACAGCATTTCACCTCAAATATGTTCCACGCAACAAGGTAAATGCTTTGTTTTTTTGTTTTTTTTTGGGAAGAGGCTCCCCATTATTGCTCACTGACAACGCAATTGGTTTTCCTGAAGTCAACCAACAAAAGACAATAAATTCCAGGCACAATTAAATGAAATTCAAAAGAAAAAAACACAGACAACTGCGTCTTTAGAAAATAGAAATTCAAATCTCAAATCGGAGTACATCATTTCTGCATCTAATCTCATAAAGAACGTCAATATTTGTATGCAGGAGCCATCAAGACTAAAACAAGATGTGGCTCACGGGGCGGGTGCGCATGCACGAGCGGGGCTAAAAGTGTGTGTGAAACTGTCAAACAAGTGATGAGTCAGGGCTGAGTAGATTTTGTGTAGACCGTTTGCCTTTTACGTTTTGTTTGTTCCCCTATTTATCATACTGTGTGGAAATATAGGGTAATAACTACAATTGTGCCATTAATCCATTGTATTTACTGCAAAAAAGGGCTCTTCGTATCATTCATAAGGTAAGCTTTTTGGAACACACGCATGATCTTTTTATTAGGTACAAATTACTGAAATTTCATGACCTTGTAAAATACTATACAGTAATCCTACTACTCAAAGCTTTTAACAATATAGTTCCAATAAATATACAAAAATTCTTCTCTCTTAAAGAGAATGCATACAATTTGAGAGGAAATGGAGACTTTATTCAACCAAAAGCTCAGACAACTCGAAAAAGTTTTTGTGTAACTGTATGTGGGGTAAAACTGTGGAATTCTCTGGATTTACAGCAGAAGCTATGCCAAAATATTAAAAAATGTAATTTATTATACAAAAATGCAGTATGGTCAGAATACAGAATTAGTGGAGCTTAGATATTTTATTGTATTGCAGTTGTCCGTATCAGTTCTTGTGCTGTTCTTGACGTTTCTTACCATCGCTGGTATGTAAACTTGTGCTACTGTTGTTGGTACCTCTGTCCTTACCATCGTTGGTACGTAAATTTGCTGTAATTGTCTAAACTGTTGTATCATTTGCATGTTGTCTATTCTATAAGCTATATTTGACTGAAAACTAAAATTATATTGCACATAGTTTTGTGTTCTAAAGTGAAAGAAGTTTACAAATGAAACACTATTTAAGTTATGAAAATTTGATGAATTTTGTTGCATTGAGAATATGTTCCTTATTTATGTTTATTTTATTTTATTCTTCTCTTTTCTTATTATGGAAATGAAGCGGAAGTTAAGTTAAATACTGTGATGTAGTAAGGGACAATACAGTAGAGGTGGGATTCAATAAGTTTTCTTCTTCCCACTCCTTTTTGAGCCAAATCTTTTATAATTCCTGTACTTATCTACAGCTGTAACATTAATTTTTTGTTTGTTTTTTTGTTCATGTGATCTGCTCGAAATCAATCAATAAATGAAATTAAATTAATGAAATGTTTGCTCACCTCAGGTCATACGTTACAGTTCATCAGTTTATCATTCGTTCATATTTAGTTTGGTGCACTATTTATGTCAATAGATCACTTTAAAACACAATACTGGATCTACATTTCTTTAGCATAGGTTTCAAAACGCGTCTACACATCTTCTGGGACCACACTTGACCGGCTCAGATCTGAAGGAAGCCGCAACAACTTAAAATCAGAGGACTCATGGTTCAGGAACCACAGTCTACCATAGACCTCAGTTGTGGCAAGGAAGAGCAAAAAAAGTGATAAAGGAGAATAAAGTTTTGTTTATATAGTCAAACATTCAACAAAGTAATAAATAATGCCAGTTAAGAGTGTCTCTGCATGAACAATATTAAATATACAAAGAGAAGAAACACATGTTGGCAGTCTGATCACAAAATCTAATAAACTCATGTTAAAACAAACCATAGCTGTATGGTTTGTCTGTATTCACTCATTCAGTAAACAAAATATGTTATTATAAAACACTGTTACTCAATGAAAAGAATTCCAAAGTGATATCTACAGTATTTTTGAAACAATAGTTGAATATTTTGACCACTAATAATCAATTACAGAGTTGGTGAATATATGTAATCTTAATCTTTATTTTATAACGTATTTCAACCAGAGTGATAATCTGTAAGTGTATAGTAAAAATATAAAATACTTCAAATGGACGTATACAATGTAGTCAATCGAACACAAAGCGAGCTTCTTAATGGAATAAGCCTACCTCAGGAGAGTGGTCAGAGTCCCCAAAGACATCAGAAAAGTCAGTGGGGCTTTTCCTCAGCGTCTGCTCTGCAGGCAGCGTGTTGTCATTGTAGGACGAGACAAACTTAAAGTCACTTGTCCTGGATCCAGTTGTCATGTATCCATCATAGTTGTAAGTGCTGCCTAAAGTTCCTGTACCGTCAACATCTGCATAATTAGGAGGCAGATAACCGCTGGGGATTGCAACTGCTCCATCAAACAACAGTCTGGGCTTCCTCCTGCGACAGAACCTCACACCCAGGACAATAATGATGAAGGTGAGGAAAAATGTGGACACTGACACCAGGGCAATGATCAGATAGGATGTCAGCTTTGAGTCCCTCTCATCATAAGAAATGTCCTTGAGTTCAGGCACTTCAGCCAAGTTATCAGAGATCAGTAAATACATGGAGCAGGTGGCAGAGAGAGGAGTCTGTCCGTTATCCTTCACTGCCACAATAAGGTTCTGTTTCATGCTGTCAGATTCAGAGATGTCCCGCTGGGTCCTGATCTCTCCGCTGTGGACACCAATAGTAAAAAGTCCAGCATCAGTGGATTTGACGATGTGATAGGACAGCCAGGCGTTCTGTCCAGAGTCTGCGTCCACTGCTATCACTTTGGACACCAGAGAGCCTGCATGTGCAGCTTTAGGGACCAGTTCAGTCATGAAGGAGTTCCCCTCTGGGCTGGGGTAAAGTATTTGAGGAGAGTTGTCATTCACATCAGATATAAACACATTGACTGTCACGTTGCTGCTGAGTGGAGGAGAGCCATTGTCTCTGGCCATCACATGGACTTGAAAACTCCTGAAGTGTTCATAATCAAAAGCCCTCACAGCATGGATCACCCCTGTGTCTCCATTCACAGACACATAGGAGGACACTAGGGCCCCGTTCACCTCAGCAGGTAACAGAGAATAAACCACTGTCCCGTTTTGTCTCCAGTCTGGGTCTCGAGCAGCAACAGAACATAAAGTGGAGCCAGGTTTGTTGTTTTCAGTCACATGTGCGCTGTAGGACTGCTCCTCAAACACAGGAGGGTTGTCATTGATGTCAGCTACAGTTAAGTGGACAGTTTTAGAGGAGGACAGAGGTGGAGAGCCCTCGTCAGTGGCACTGATTGTAATGTTGTAATCAGACACTAGCTCACGGTCCAGCTGCTCTGTGGTCACCAGAGAATAATAGTTTTTAATGGAAGGAACTAACTTGAAAGGGACCCCAGTCTGAAGGGAGCAGTGGACCTGTCTGTTGTTCTCTGAGTCTCTGTCCTGGACATTAATGATGCCCACCTCTGTACCAGGAAACACATTCTCAGGGATATGATTGGTCAGGGACTGCACGTTTATTATGGGAGCATTGTCATTAATGTCAGTAATTTCAATCAATAGGGTTGCATATGACACTAATCCTAAACCGTCTTTGCCGCTTATTTGCATTTCATACGACGACGTCTTTTCAAAGTCAATTTGTCCTGTTACTCTAACTTCTCCACTTTTCAAATTAATAATAAACACGTTACCATCTTCATCGGATCGTTGGTAAAATTCATAGTTTACTTCACTATTTAACCCATTGTCAGCGTCAGTCGCAGTCACTGTAATAACCAGTGTGTCTGGAGGAGAGTTTTCAGGGAGACTCGCTTTATACACAGTCTGACTAAACACTGGCGCATTATCATTAGCGTCAAGAACAGTGACATGAATGACCACTGTGCCTGATCTCTGAGGAGAGCCGCCATCAAACGCAGTCAACACAAGCGTCATCTCCTCATTATCCTCTCGGTCTAATTCTTTGTCCAACACTAACTCACAGTATTTTCGACCTGCTGATCTCGTATTAACATTTAATTTGAAATTGTCATTTTGCTGAAGGCTGTAACCTATGGGGTGCCGTTTGTAAAAATTCTGTTAAAATTTTTTAGCTGAACATTTTTCTACATTTAGCTCACTTTCCTCACATTTAGCACATTTTCCTCACATTTAAGACATATCTATATCTAAATATTATATCTATATCTAAATATTATATCTATATCTAAATGTTAAATGTTATATCTAAATATTATATCTATATCTAAATGTTAAATCTAAATGTTAAATCTAAATGTTAAATCTAAATGTTAAATCTAAATGTTAAATCTAAATGTTAAATCTAAATGTTAAATCTAAATGTTAAATCTAAATGTTATATCTATATCTAAATGTTATATCTATATCTAAATATTATATCTATATCTAAATGTTAAATGTTATATCTAAATATTATATCTATATCTAAATGTTATATCTATATCTAAATGTTAAATCTAAATGTTAAATCTAAATGTTAAATCTAAATGTTAAATCTAAATGTTAAATCTAAATGTTAAATCTAAATGTTAAATCTAAATGTTAAATCTAAATGTTAAATCTAAATGTTAAATCTAAATGTTATATCTATATCTAAATATTATATCTATATCTAAATGTTATATCTAAATGTTATATCTAAATGTTAAATCTAAATGTTAAATCTAAATGTTAAATCTAAATGTTAAATCTAAATGTTAAATCTAAATGTGTCGCCAAGTTAAAGCTAAATATATAGAAACCACGCCCACTGTCTCCATCATGGGCTTCTCCTATCACAAATAACGTGCCTTTATCAGCTGATTCACCAATCTCAAATTTAAGCGTGTCTTCTTTAAATTGAGGTGCGTTATCGTTGATGTCTTGCACGCGGATGGTAAAGCGATGCAGCTCTAAAGGGTTTCAGAATACATGAAGTCTTCTTCGCACAAAGGCCCTCTCTGTCAATCCTCTTCTGAACAAGCAGTTCTCCCGTGTTGAGGTTCACACTGCAGAACTGGACTCCGTTGTCCTCGGAGTCCACGCGCGCCCTGCGAGCGGACAATCTTCTCAAATCAAGTCCTACATCCTTAGCGATATTTCCGATCACAGATCCACGTTTCATCTCCTCTGGAATAGAGTAGCTGATGTCTCCACGGCCAACATGAAATAACAGGAAAATATAACACAAAATAATACAAAAACGGTATCTTTGCCCATCCATTATGTTACCAGGAGATTTGTTTTAAAAGCTCTTGAAATGCGTAAAATGAAGCATTGAAAGAACAGCGTTTTTCTGAAAATGTGCTGCTGCTTTACAACCCCTGATAAAGAAGGGAGGAGAATGAACACGCTGCACCGTTCACTGGTGAATACTGACACCAAGAGTTTGTTCTGAGCAACAACCACAGCTTTTCATAAAACGTTATTAAGTGCCTATTTGTAACAAACCGTATTATAATACATAACAACGTTTTCAACTAGAAATTAGTATTATAATACAATAAATAATGGCACTTGCATGAACTTGGAGTGGTAGAATGCATGTTTTGTTATTTGTTTACTGTTTACAGCAACAAAAGCACACTGTTTCAGAATCACTGAGTGAAAAAGAATGGTACTAATTTCTTCACATAAAAACATGAAAAATATTCAACAGTGTTGCACTTTGCTGTAAAAAAAAAAAAATAAAAAAAAATAAATACGTCTGCATCTGCACTAGGACAATGCAGACGTGAGAAATCAGCCTCTTCATGATTAATACTGGTAGTTGCCACTAGGGGCAGCCTTATCAAATACATTCTCATCCATATATGTTTAAATGCAAGTGGTAAAACTGGATACAAATTAACCTATAAATTACAATTTGGCTGACACATGTGGAACAGATATCAGCACCATGGACAGAGAATTCATTGAATAACTAATGAAACTATCCCCAGGAACTTCTTCCATTTCAGTCTGATTATAAAACATTGCAAATCATACTCTTATGTTTCAAAGTATACTCATAACTCGAAGTATATAACAAAACAATAAAAAAAACAATTGCACAACATATGTAGTCCTAATGTCAGTGCACCAAAAACTAAAAGCGGCATCCTTTTAAATTGTGTTCCATGTATAAAATTGACAAATATATTATGACAGTGTGTAAATCCTTTAATGTGAAAAAGTAAACGTTTTATATTCTCTCAATGTAAAATGTCTACTGTATGTTATCTTAACTAAAACGTAATTTTCCACGGGGAACAAATAACTTAGAACCTATAAGATCTATAGAAATTTTTAACAGCAATTCACCTCAAATATGTGCTAAACAACAAGGTAAATTTATTGCTTTTTTGGTTATTTTTGGAAGAGGCTCCCCATTATTGCTCAATGACAACGCAATTGGTTTTCCTGAAGTCAACCAACAAAAGACAATCCATTCCAGGCTCAATAAAAGGAAATTCAAAAGAATAATACACAGACAACTGCGTCTTTAGAAAATAGAAATTCAAATCTCAAATCGGAGTAGATCATTTTTGCATCTAATCTCATAAAGAACGTCATTATTTGTATGTAGGTGCTATCAGGACTAACCCAAAATGTGACTCACGGGGCGGGTGCGCATGCTAAAGGTGTGCGTGAAACTGTCAAACAAGTGATGAGTCAGGGCTGAGTGGATTTTTGTAGAGCTTTAGCTTTTTAAGTTTTGTTTGCTCACTTCAGGTCATACGTTACAGTTCATCAGTTCATCATTTATCCATTTCTTGTTTACTGCACTATTTATGTCAATAAACCACTTTAAACACAATACTGGTACAAGATATCTTTAGCATAGGTTTCAAAACGCATCTACACATCTTCAGGGACCACACCTGACCGGCTCAGATCTGCAGGAAGCCGCAACAACTTTAAAGCAGAGGACTCATGGCTCAGGAACCGCACAGTCTACCATAGACCTCAGTTGTGGCAAGGAAGCAATAAAAGTGGAAAAAGGAGAAAATAGTTGTGTTTATAGGCAAACATTCAACAATGTGATAAATAATGGCAATTAAGAGTGTCTCTGCATGAACTTACCAACATGAAATATACAAAGAGAAGAAACACATGTTGGCAGTCTGATCACACAATCAAATAAACTCATGTTCAAAACAAACTATAGGTGTGTCTTGATTCATTCATTCAGTGAAACATAATTTATTAAAAACACTGTTACTGAATAGAAATAATTCCAAAGTTATGTCTACAGTATTTTGGAAACAATGGTTGCATAATTGTATAATAAAGTCATAAAGTCAATTACAGAGTTGGTGATAATTCATAATATTGATATAGACCTTTTTTACGACAACCGGAAGTGCCGCCTCGCAGCGCTGAGTCACTTCCGGTTTGCAACGTTTGTATACAGTCTATGATAGAGAAATGGCTCTAATATTTTCACCAACACTACTCTGTTTATCAGCTTTTTCATTCGCTGCTGCGGAAGCAATTGCAGCAGCGAATTCAAAAACAGATAAACGGGATAAGGGGCATAAATTCTTTCGTGAAGAATATTTACACGACTATCAAGGTAAGACTTATCAACTTACTGTACAGCTACGCTAGCTACGACACTTGAATTACATAAATATGTAATACAGACGCCTAATTTGTGTGCTAAATTATTCGAAATTTGAATGGAGAAATGGTATAGAATTTCCAATTATATTAGAACATTATGATATGTGTTTTTCATGTCTTATTTATGAAAGCAAACATGCTAAATGTTAGTTTTTACATGATGATGCTAGATGTACCTTAACCATTAAATTGTGCTTTGTTTCTGCATACTTATAGTATCAAATATTGTCGAGGGAAAGGTAGTGGTCAGAGCTAAATGCTTCAGGTCCATGAGCAGAAATGAGGAGCCGCACAGACTGCAGGTTTGAAAGTCAGAAAGCCGGTTGGCTTGTTCAGCTTTGAGTTCTTGAGTCGCTGACAGATGACAGCTGAAGAACGTTCACATAGGATGGACAGTTCCAGTAAAACTGAGAGCCTATACTCGCATCTTTCTGTTTGGTGGTTACTATTTCTCTTCTGCAGCTGTTGCAGCATAGGCTTTTCTATGTACTGCTGCTGTTGCAGCATAGGCTTTTCTATGTACTGCTGCTGTTGCAGCAAATCTAAACTACAATCTCTGTCTTTATAAGATAAGTTATAACAAGTAATAACTATGTCAGTTCTAAAACTACTTCTCTGCTTTTGATCTCACTGGGTGCTGAAAAGGCTGAGCTGTTGGCTCATTCTTGTAGTTGTGCAGCAGGTAAAGGTTTTTGCAACCATGTAGTTGCACTTCTTTATCAGACTGCACACTACTCCCAGCTCCAGCTACCAGCTGTTCCTCCTGCCCTAGCATGTACGAGTGATCTACAAAGATGGCACAGACCAAGAACACAGGTAAATAAATAAAAAAGTAATTTGCTCAACTCTTTTCTATTGCATAATCATTTAGTATGCAATTTTCTTAACTACTTTAAGAAGAATATAATTAAGCTATCTATCTATCTCTAATATATAGATATATATATATAAATGCCCTGTTAACAAAATCTATTTTTCTGTTTTTATTTCTTGTAAGGGGATCCACCCTGAACCTGTCAGCAAAGTCATAGTGCGAAAGCCCAAAACTGTGGGGAAACGATGTCTGCAGTCTACACTCTACAGAGCTTTCCCAGGTATAATTTATTGAGTGTCAATGTTTTCATAATCTGTCTGTAAATTATATATATATATTATTTAATAAATATATAAAAATAAATAAATCTGGAATGTTTCCTTTGTCATAAGTTATTGAGATTTGTCACTCATGTGTTTTATAGGACCACTTCCTGACCCCGACATCATCGCATCGGGAGAGAAATTACGCCAGCTGGAGTCCCTGCCACTCATAGCTCTTGTTTTAGAAGGTCTCTCAACTTTGGAGCTGGTTCCGTCCAAATTTGGGCCTGTGCCTCGAGGCTCACCAATGTCTTACCAGTGCCCACCTGAGAAGTCCTGCGACGTCATCATTATACACCACACAGCTCCAGACTTCCCTGCTCTTCTTTTGATGTTTCACAGTCTTACAAACATGTGTTTTGTGCCTACTCTTGGTCAACTTAGGCATCTTCAGTCTCTGCAACTGTCACTGGATACGTCTTCAAAAATACAGTAGAGGCTGCAACCAGGGAGCAGTCCAGATGTCCTGCATGGGTACAGCTTCGCCAGCCAAGGCTTACAGCTAGCCGTTTCCGGGATGCTTGTAAAGGAAGTGCTGAGGAGGAGTCTGTAGCCACAGCACATGCAGCTAGGATGATCAGGGGGTTCACAAAACAAACAGCTGCAATGAAGCGCGGTCTGCAGATGGAGCTCGAGGTGCTGGCGAACTATGCTGAGCTGATGAGTGTTAATGTACTCCCTGTGGGATTTATCATTCACCCCGAGGCACCACATCTTGGGGCAAGTCCTGATGGCAGGGTGTATGACCCATCAGAATCACCCCCGTTTGGACTGGTAGAGGTTAAATGTAGTGCCAAAAATGATGTGTCCCAGGTGGCTCACCTTAAGGTTCAGGATGGCTCTGCAAATGTGAGGCGCTCACATGCGTACTACTGGCAAGTACAGGGTCAGCTGGCAATCACAGGGCTGGAATGGTGCGACTTTGTCACAGACACACTGACAACTTTAACAGTTGAGCGAGTGTGGCGGGATGAATCTTTCATTGACCAGATGAAGTCAAAATTGGACATGTTTTACTTTACCACCTTTATGAATGTGTTTATGTCAATGCAATACAGTAACTAATGATTCACAAATCCCTTTTTTGTTCATTCCCTTTTTTTTTATCATTGTAAATATCTGTCACAAAAATTGAATATATGCATAGCAAAACAAAACATGAAATTGCCCTAGGCTTAATGACTTGTGCCTGCTGCTGAAAGGAAGTTGTTGAGGTATAAGTTTTCCAAAACTACACTAATGGGCTTAATTTATTTCCTGTATGATTTAATACAAAATATTTCCAGCCTTGTTTTGTTACAAATGAAATGATTTGAGAATTACATATTTCATTTTCAACATAATCCACTATCACTTGCTATTTGTTTCACCTGTTTTCCCTTGCAATTCAACACAATCAAGCCACAATAACAAAACAAAAAATACTGAATTCTGCCCAAGTGTGTTTTAAAATGGGGAATAAACATCTCAAAAAAATGTACACTGAAACAGACACATAGATTTAGATGAAACATTTATTCTTCCAAACAAAATGGGCCTTGATAATTAGCCAAAACACAACAGTTGTGCCAGATCTGATTGACGGTTCCTATTAAAGTGAGTGGCACAGGAGAATCCCAGATGTGGTAGTGCTTGATTCTGGCTATTGCCTGTTCGACAATAATTCTCAGACGAGCAATGGCTTGGGTCTCCTCAGTCTCTCTCTTGCTAAACTGACCAGGATGTCGAAAAGGTGGCATTGTGAGTTTGGCCCCAACTTCATCAAGGAGGTCTTGAATGAGGAAGCCCTTATCTGCCATGACTTCATCTCCTGGCTCCAGCAGCGGAAGAATTCCACTGATTTTAGTGATCTCTTTGTCGGAGATGCAGCCAGTGTACAGCTGTGATATAAACGTCACCAATCCATTGGGAGCAACTCCGATCAGCCCTTTCAGAGTGGTGCGGTTCTTGTACGCAGAGAAGGTTTCAGACTGTAAAGTTAGTGATGATGCCCCCTCTAAAGCAACTTCTGTGCAGTCCAGGATGACACGCACATTTGGAGAGCGCTTCACAAATCTTTGAGGCATGCTGGCTTTCACCTTCTCCCGACTAATCCACATGTTAATTGACGAGAACACAATGAAAAGGTAGTTGGCCCATGTGATGGTCACTCGGCTGACAGTAGAAATGCTCACTTTAAACATGTCAGCAATGAGCTGCTGCTTCATTCCCACTGCAACCCTGAATGAGTACATTAAAAACTCATCAATTAGAGGCATGTGGCATGCAGGGCTTGGTTCAGAAACATCTTTATCTCAAATTTTCTGAGCTCTGGTCCAGTACACTAGACGGGATGCAGATGGTGCAATGGATTCCCAGAAGATCCTGAACACCCTCTTAGATGGGAATTTTTTGTAAAACCGGATCTGGTCATCAGAAAAGCAATAACTACTAAAAAGTGTGCTGGGAGACAAATCCATCTTCTCCAGCCTGGCTTCCAACTCCTTGATCGTCTCAAGGGCTTTATCAAGCGCACCTGTAAAACCAGAAAAAAGTGCTATAAATACCTTAAAAAGGTCTAACCATAATGTAATATATATATAATTATATACACAATTACACAGACAGTCCTAAATATTGTATTTTATTTACACTGCTTTAATTTTGTTCCACAAACATGTTATGACACTGAGCATTTATTGTTTCATAGTTACAATATTGACTCAAATATGCTAGAATTGACTGCAAATGGCAAATAAATCAATCTGAATCTGAATCTGAATAAAAATTTTACATAACTGATGTAATTAGATATTTACCTGGGGGTGGATGTGCCGCATAATCATGTTCGGCAGTGGCAGCTTCAGCCTGGCTATTGCTCTGAAAGGACAAGCTGACGTTTCTGAGCCTTCTGGAATGCTGACTCCCTCTTAGGTGGTGCAATAAAATTATTCCAGGGGAATAGAGATGGAACAGCTCCACTTTTAAGACGGCTGACGGTCGATCCAGTGAGATAATCCTCCGGTGTGAAGTATCGGCTGCATACAAAAGTGCTCCCTGTCTTTATGGTGAACAGGGGAGCCTCGTCTCTCCTAACTGCTTGGATCCACTGCCTTCTTCGGTCCGGGTCCGTCGGAAAAGCATGAAAAGATAAATAGGGTTGTTTTCTTGCTCCACAAGAGCAACCAGGAACAGAGACAAAAACTAGCGCGGAGAGATTGAGCCATACTGACGCTGTCTCTGAACGGTAAAGCATAGGCACCGGAAGTGGCTTTACTCCACATCCGGTTTAAAACACGGAAGTGTGAAAAAGGTCTATACCATTACAACACATTTCAACCAGAGTGATGATCTGCAAGTGTATAGTAAAACTATAAAATACTTCACATAGACGTATACAATGTGGTCAACCAAACACAAAGAACACTTCAACATTCTAAATGGAAAAAGCCTACCTCAGGAGAGTGGTCAGAGTCCCCAAAGACGTCAGAAAAGTCAGTGGGGCTTTTCCTCAGCGTCTGCTCTGCAGGCAGCGTGTTGTCATTGTAGGACGAGACAAACTTAAAGTCACTTGTCCTGGATCCAGTTGTCATGTATCCATCATAGTTGTAAGTGCTGCGTAAAGTTCCTGTGCCGTCAACATCTGCATAATTAGGAGGCAGATAACCACTGGGGATTGCAACTGCTCCATCAAACAACAGTCTGGGCTTCCTCCTGCGACAGAACCTCACACCCAGGACAATAATGATGAAGGTGAGGAAAAATGTGGACACTGACACCAGGGCAATGATCAGATAGGATGTCAGCTTTGAGTCCCTCTCATCATAAGAAATGTCCTTGAGTTCAGGCACTTCAGCCAAGTTATCAGAGATCAGTAAATACATGGAGCAGGTGGCAGAGAGAGGATTCTGTCCGTTATCCTTCACTGCCACAATAAGGTTCTGTTTCATGCTGTCAGATTCAGAGATGTCCCGCTGGGTCCTGATCTCTCCACTGTGGAGACCAATAGTAAAAAGTCCAGCATCAGTGGATTTGACGATGTGGTAGGACAGCCAGGCGTTCTGTCCAGAGTCTGCGTCCACTGCTATCACTTTGGACACCAGAGAGCCTGCATGTGCAGCTTTAGGGACCAGTTCAGTCATGAAGGAGTTCCCCTCTGGGCTGGGGTACAGTATTTGAGGAGAGTTGTCATTCACATCAGATATAAACACATTGACTGTCACGTTGCTGCTGAGCGGAGGAGAGCCATTGTCTCTGGCCATCACATGGACTTGAAAACTCCTGAAGTGTTCATAATCAAAAGCCCTCACAGCATGGATCACCCCTGTGTCTCCATTCACAGACACATAGGAGGACACTGGGGCCCCGTTCACCTCAGCAGGTAACAGAGAATAGACCACTGTCCCGTTTTGTCTCCAGTCTGGGTCTCGAGCAGCAACAGAACATAAAGTGGAACCAGGTTTGTTGTTTTCAGTCACATGTGCGCTGTAGGACTGCTCCTCAAACACAGGAGGGTTGTCATTGATGTCAGCTACAGTTAAGTGGACAGTTTTAGAGGAGGACAGAGGTGGAGAGCCCTCGTCAGTGGCACTGATTGTAATGTTGTAATCAGACACTAGCTCACGGTCCAGCTGCTCTGTGGTCACCAGAGAATAATAGTTTTTAATGGAAGGAACTAACTTGAAAGGGACCCCAGTCTGAAGAGAGCAGTGGACCTGTCTGTTGTTCTCTGAGTCTCTGTCCTGGACATTAATTATGCCCACCTCTGTACCAGGTGACACATTCTCAGGAATCTGATTGGTCAGGGATTTTAAATTAATGATGGGAGCGTTATCATTTACATCCATTATGTCAATAATTAAAGTTGCATATGAAACTAACCCTAATCCATCTCTGGCACTGATTTGCATTTCATAAGATGGTATTTTTTCATGGTCAATTCCACCAGAAACAACAACCTCTCCTGTTTTAGGAATAATGGTGAACACCTCACTATGTCCATCAGACACATGATCAAATTCATACAAAATGACTCCGTTTACTCCAACATCAGCATCTGTCGCCGTCACTGTAATAACCAGTGTGTCTGGAGGAGAGTTTTCAGGGAGACTCGCTTTATACACAGTCTGACTAAACACTGGTGCATTATCATTAGCGTCAAGAACAGTGACATGGATGACCACTGTGCCTGATCTCTGAGGAGAGCCGCCATCAAACGCAGTCAACACAAGCGTCATCTCCTCATTATCCTCTCGGTCTAATTCTTTATTTAAAACTAATTCACAGTATTTTCGACCGCCAGTGTTTGTTTTGATATTGAATTTAAAATGATCATTCTGCTGAAGGGTGTAGCCTTGTACGGCGTTTTCGCCTATGTCTCCATCATGGGCTTCTCCTATCACAAATAACGTGCCTTTATCAGCTGATTCACTTATTTCAAATTTAAGCCTGTCTTCTTTAAATTGAGGTGCGTTATCGTTGATGTCTTGCACGCGGATGGTAAAGCGATGCAGCTCTAAAGGGTTTTCCAGCACAAGCTCCTGTTTCAGAATACATGAAGTCTTCTTCGCACAAAGGCCCTCTCTGTCAATCCTCTCCTGAACAAGCAGCTCTCCCGTGTTGAGGTTCACACTGCAGAACTGGACTCCGTTGTCCTCGGAGTCCACGCGCGCCCTGCGAGCGGACAATCTGCTCAAATCAAGTCCAACATCCTTAGCGATATTTCCGATCACTGATCCACGTTTCATCTCCTCTGGAATAGAGTAGCTGATGTCTCCACGGCAAATATGAAATGCCAAGAAAATACAACACTGAATAATAGAAAAACGGCGTCTTTGCCTATCCATTATGTTACCAGGAGATTTGTTTTAAAAACTCTTGAAATGCGTAAAACGAAGCATTGAAAGAACAGCGTTTTCTGAAAATGTGCAGCCGCTATACAACAACTGATAAAGAAGGGAGGAGAATGAACACGCTGCACCGTTCACTGGTGAATACTGACACCAAGAGTTTGTTCTGAGCAACAACCACTACACATTTTCATTGCTGGTTGAATAAAAAATATTAATAATAATTTAAAAATAAACATTAAAAACTCTTATACGTAGACTTGTATGTGTAGTGATTCAAATAATCAGAAACTCATTCAAAAGGCCTGATTATTTTCTTATCCAATCATAAAAATAAAAAGAGAACTTGCATGAACGGGAAATACAGGTATAAGCGTTATTCAGAATTTGGATTAACACGTTTCTAGATAGATAGAGATAGATAGACCTTTATTGTCCCCTGAGGGATATTCATTTTCACGAACAATGTCACATACATAGAATAGGGAGGAAGGAAGTTACAATACACACAAGATACACAAAAAACATAGAAAGAAACACATAAAATACACAAAAAAGGGCAAAATTACAGACTGCTAAGTTCAGCTTTGGCTGAAGGGACAAAAATCTTGCTAAATCTTGCCCGCTTCTATCTTAACATTCTGTATCTGCGTCTTGAGGGCAGCAGAGTGGGTGCGGAGGGGATTGTCTGAGTCTGTGCTAACTGTCATGCGTGTTACTGCTGTGAGGTTGAGGTGTGAGAGGTCTGTGGTGGGGAGACTGATGATTTTGCATGCTGTGTGTGTGAGTGTGTCTATAGTGGGTTTATTTCTGTTGGTGATGGAGAGTATGTTAAAGTAACAGGGGGAGCAGTAGAGGAGAATGGGTTGAATGATTGAAATGTGGAGTTTCAGAAGCAGATTTAGAGAGAAAGCGCTTACAGAGAATGTGGAATCTTTGTTGGGAGCGTTTATGGATATCTGTGACATGTTGTTCAAAGGTGAGTTTATTGTCGAGTGCTGATGGGCTGATGAAGTCTAAGTCAGTTTTGAAATGTGTTTGACAATTAATCGTGTTGAATAGGTAGCGAAATATATTGCTGTCGGGCGCTTTGCTCTAAAAGATTGAAATAAACACCCTGTTCTGAGATAAACAGCAATCATTGTCATCAACTAATAATATCTGCCGCTGCCACCGGGGGCAGGTTTGCCAAACACATTCTCATACGTCAATTTGAATCCAAGATAATGTGGTAATAGACAAATGTTTTTATTGTGTCAATCAAACATTAGAACCATGGACCGTAGTGTGTTTTGTCAGGCAGGATTTCAAACATCCACATTTTACAAGTTTAATTGTCAAAGTAACTTCTGATAACCTCCTGTATGACTGCATCAAAATATCCAACAATAACAAACAAACACTTGCCATGCATATCATATTATTAAGAGACTAATTCTAAATAGATACACGATGGGCATGGGTGAGTTCATCATAAAGAAAGAATAAACTGTATTTCAAAACAACCTATAACCTGCACACAAAAGCTCAATATCACTACTGGTCACATTTATTTCAATTAAAGAATTTAAAAGTCAAGAAAATTAATATATTTGAAAATAATTTCTTCAAAGTCTAAATGTATATTTTAAATCACCGACTTGCATCTGTTTTTTCCTCATATCATGAAAAAAATGAAGCTAAAGCGGAAATTCAGAGTGGAAGACCTGAGAACCCAGCTCTGAGCGCTCAGTTCTCCTGCTGTTGCCCACAGCAACAGCAATCCGTCAATCACACTCAGCTGTGCAGCGCCTAACGCAAATCCTCACCTGCAGCAATCAGGCACTGCCCACATCAGCTTCATATCACGCAGAAGCTCCATCCAGGCAACCGCTTCATTCATGCCGCAACCCTCATCCTCCCCATCTCTGCCTAGTTCCAGGCCAGCTCCTTCGTCCTTCTCCTATCTACCTCCACCATAGCCTGGTTGTACCACACCTTAGTACAAATT